TTTTTTTTTTTTTTTTTTTTAAATTATTATTATTTATTTTTTTTTTTTTCCTACTGGAGTTGCCATTTTTGCTCTAGGAGAAAAATACTGAACATATGTACACTTGTAGTTTCTCCTGGGAGAGCAAACATTCTCCCAGGAGAAACTCAATGTCTTTACATGGCCAGAGTCAATTAAAAAAATCCATACTTTTCTGAAAATTCGGTGCCTAGTATTTTTATAAGTAATTCTTATCATTACAATAACTGAAAGTTAAGAGACTATTCTGAACATAGTTTTGACATTTTCCCTTTACAGTCAGTGAGTTCCCTCCTGCTTTTATGAATGTTTCCAAAAAAAAGAGAAAACATATGTGAAAAAAAGAGAAATATGATGGCGAAATCACATCTTTAGCACAGAGACCTGGATGGCTGAAGCCATCCTTTATTTGGATATAGATATAAGGTATTTTTTTTAAATAATAGTCCCACATTCACTTCTGTACCTTTGGGTCATATTTGTATTGCCATCTGTGTAAAGGATATTATAAAGTTTAAATAGTCATCTTTAGCAAATGATGAACTGTATCCTCTGCAAAGTCCAGGCTGCTAAGTGTTAAAGAGAGAGAAGGAAACAGAAATCGTTTCTAGGGTTGCCAAAGGCTTGGTAGGAAAGCTCCAACTCCCTTGCTCTTGGAGGATTTCTTGGCTGATTTTGGAATATGTACTCTAGGTTTCCTCACCCCTTTATGAAGAACTGGGGAACGGCTTTTATCTAAAGTGGTCTGGCTTTTTGCAAACAATAATTTAAATAAAGTTTCCGTATGATATCTTTGTTATAGTCCTCTACCTTTTGGAGTGATACAGGCTTCTAAGACTCTTTTTATATCACATTTCCTATGTAGCTGATATGCTGTATATCACAGCCCTTACTTACCTTGTTTATTTGTTCATGCCCTTAAAGGTGAATTAGTTCAACCTGATTTTTTTTTAGGCTTTGTATTTAAGTAAGTTTGTGTTATGGAGATGTATGTTAAAGGGGCCATCTGTTTTTCACTCTGTCCTCAGCATCCTCTTTTGGAGCCAATTTTGTACCTAGCAGTAAATATGCAGTTATTTATAACAGCCTTAAAATGTAATGCCATGATAATTGTAGGTTGTTTTCTCTGTTCACTATCAGAGCATTATAACATAAGAGTCTAAAAAAAAGGCAAACTCATTCAGAAACTAGAAAATTATCAATTAATGTAAGAACACATTTTAATGGCATAATTAATCTTTGCTTATTACAGAATCATTAACATTTATTTCTATGCTGTGTGTTGTGTTGTTTTTAAGACACCAAGTGAAGGATGTTGGATCCTAGAATCTTCCACTTGTATTTACATTATCTAGGTACCATTGTCATGTAGAATGGGCTAAAAGCCTTATGCAAGAACAAGGACTTGATGACGACTCAGTTAAAATTCTTGAAAATTACATTAAGCCAGTTCCCCTGCCATTTATGAAAGAGGAAGGAGAGGCTGACCAATGCAGCGAAAAAATGGCTCCAGAAATAGAAAATAAAGAAGATAGAGTGGAACTTTCAGAAGATTCTTCCATAATTAATGGAGATGTGATAGCACCAAATGTTGAATGTCATAAGGAGAGTCTAGACTGCAAGAAACCCTATTTGGAAGGGGATCCACTTCATGATCCATTGGCCAAGTATGGCTCTAAGGAACTAGATGCAATGGATTCTACAGCCATGTTTACAGAACATTGCCAGAAACATAGTGACTTTGCTATATACACTGGTTGCAAGGCAGAAGGCGACACTGAGCAACAAGTATCTTCCGGATTGGCCAGTTCTATAGAATATGTTCTGGTACAGGAAGAAGAAAGTAGCTTTTGTCATGATGAAGCTGCAAATGAGCAATCAAATGTAAGCTGAATATGTCCCTTTCTCTTGGAGAATTTATTTAGCTAAACACAGATTGTTTTCACCATTCAGTTTTTTTGCCTACTTTAATTGTTAATAATATCTAAGATGTTTAAAAAGTTTCGTTTGAATGAAAAATATGTGGATTACCTTTTAATATTTGTTTGCTTTTTTACAATTTATTTTGATACTGCTCTTCTTTTAGTCAATCAAAAAGGAAAAATTAGTATGCAGAAGAAATCCATTTAGGATTTTTGAATATTTGCAACTCAGCCTGGAAGAGGTATGTGTATGTTTTAAATACTTTGCAACTTTTTAACTTTAATGTATGCTATAATGTAGTCTAATTCCTTTTCCATAAATGAAGAGCAATCTTTTGTATTTACAATCTTTAGAATGTTTTGTTAAGTTTACTTATTTTAAAATAATCCATAGATTGCATGGATATGGTGAAAGGAGTTAAAGAGCCTAATCCAATAGACTTTAGACATGTAAAAAGTCCAGTGAATTCAGAGGGACTAATCACATGAGTAAATGACTGCAGATCTGGGCAAATAACATTTCAGCCGGTTTCTCCAGAAATACATATCTTGTTTTAATTAGAACACGATGTCTTTGTCTACTCCAGTCCTCAGAGTAAATTACAGTCTGGAAGGCGATCCAGTTTATGATCCATTAGCCAAGTAGAGCTCTAAAGAATTGGATACAAAGGATTCTAGCCAAAGTACATTGTCAGAAATCTGATGATGATGGCAATGCAGTTTTAATGGTTAGATTTAAGACTGCAATGAAGTTTCAAAGGTGATTCTCTGGCAACTTGTTGCTCTGTTAGTGACTTTCAAATTGTTCTTATGGTACATGCAAGATAATTTTATACTGAGAAATCTCCATGCAATATAAATACAGTAATGTAACTTGCTGTTCTTTTTCAGGCTTTTTTCTTGGTGTATGCCCTAGGATGTTTAAGTATTTATTATGGTGAGGTAAGATGTTATGTTTTGTCACATGATGTGTGTCCGAAAAATGTGTTGTTGATCTGGGTATAGTTCACTGACTTAAACTGCCAACTACTGTGGTAGCATCATGTGCTACTAATCCCAAGGCAGCAATTGGACAAGATGAAGGAAATTTTTTCCCTCAAATAATATTATGCATCTGGTTGTGTGGATATAAGAATATTGGCCAGAAATTCTCATTCTTGTTATTAGGAACACCCAGGCAGATGAGCGGATTCATTCTAGAAAAGAAAAGTGTTGGTGGGAAAAAGTGGGTAAAAATGGGTTTTAGAAGAGGTGTGTCACAGCGCCCCAGGGATGGCTGTGATGCCCCTAGGGCTCCATGACTGTGCCAAGTCTTGTTGGTAAAAATAATAAGTAGGGAGGCTGCCCACCAGTTTCTGTGCGGCCATGGTCCTGTTGAACTGCATTAGACCCTGCGGGTTCTTGGACCCCTTGCTGGGTCCTGCTTCGGGTTGGTGTCTCATGGGACAACCTAAGCCTTATGGGATAGATGCATGGCACCAAAACCTCCCCTTTACCACACCCCATGCCTTGCGGGTGTTATACGACTATTGTTCCCTCTGTTGGGGTCTCAGCCAACTGAGCGCTGAGCTCTGCACAATTGTGTGCGCTCCTCTGGACACTAATGAGGCCTCCACCTCCCCTTATACCCTCATCCCAAAACCACTGGTGCAGATGACAATGCAAACATAAGCCCCTGGACTATAAGATAACAATAACTGGAGGCCACACTCTGCCCCTTTAAGAAGACAAACTTCTCCCCTAGTATTGCGTACCTCCTAGCCCTGGGTACCTTGTGAGCTCTTGGAGCCCTGTTAGTCTTGCAGGCAGCAGATCAGGCAACCAAACTTCTCTGGGTAGCTCTTTCATGCAGGATCTCTTTCCCCTGCTGGCTGCCAGAGAACAAACCCCTACCAGCCCCAGCCCTGGGGCTTATATGTGCCCAGGGCCCCGTCTCCATTCAGTCAGCTGGCTGTGCGAAGGTGCCAACTAATTCCCTCATTAGCCTGCTGCCCGGGCAACCTGTAGCTGTGGAGTTCTACCTCACTTGCAGGGCTTTCTGGCTAGGCTGCTTCTGCCCTTAAAGGAGCAGGCATGCCTTCATGCCCTGCGACAAGGGGCACGTCCAGATGAGCGTGCACATGCCTCTTGCAGCGTTTCAAACCCTGGGGGAAAAATTTGCAGTGTGGGGGTAAAATTAGACCCCTGGATATCCAGAAGTCAAATGATACCCCAGGGGGAAAAAACAGGTCAGGGCAAAGTTCCAGACCATGCCCTGAGGCAACCAGAGGCTTGGTCCTCCACAGAGACACTCTGGTAGCCTGCCAGAGCGGCTCTGTGGTTAGCCCTTTCTCTGGTGCTGAAGGGACCTGGACTGGCCTTGTGCCAGGTAAGTAGTAGGGTAGGGGCTGGAGGAGGGGGAAGATGACCTTGGCTGAGGCCCCGCCTGGCCCCAGCCTCTATTCATTCCCCCAGCTCCCTGTTCATTCCCCCCATCCCCCATTGGTTCCCCAAGCTCCCCACTCGCTCTCCCAGCCCCCACCCCACTCGTCGGCAGTAGCAGAGAAGGAGCAGCAGTCTTGACAGAGCAGGAGAATGAGCAGGAGGCTGGAAACAGTAAGGGAAGTCTCCAGCTTATTTCCAGGGGCTTGTCTCCAGCCTCCTGCTTGTCTCCATCCCCCTGCTCATTCTTCTGCTCGTCTCCAGCCTTAGGAGGCTGGAGACAAGCGGGGAATGAGCAGGAAGCTGGAGACGGGGGAATGTCTCCGGCGCATTTCCAGGGGCTGTCTCTAGCCTCCTGCTCATTCCCCTGCTCCTCTCCAGCCCCCTGCTCCTCCTGTTCTTCTCCAGCCTCCCAAGGAGATCCGGGAGGAGCCA